TCCAAGTTCAAAATTGGATCCATTATACCATGCTGCCACTTCCCATGATTTGCCACTTACTATATGACTTTGGAGAAATTACTTAACTTGAGACTTAATTTCCTCATCTATATAATAGAGATATTCATACCTGCCCTCCATTATCTCATTGAATTGTGACTGGGTGGTACAAAGCTGGGAGGGATAGCCCAAAACCCAATAGCCTAAAATGTTGGGCCAAACCTATTAAGATGAAATTGATTAGGGATAAACATGAAGTTTTATATTTGCGTTTAAAAAAATCTGCTTTACAAATGCAAGATTGGGAAGGTATAGCTAGTCAGCAAGCACAGAATTTCTGAGTTGAAAGGAATTTTGGGTGGCCATCTAGTCTAACCCCTACCTAAAAGAATGGCCCTCAGTTCATATAAGAAAAGATCTGGGGGTTCTGATGCATTTCAAAGTAAATAAGAGTTAACAGTGGCACTATGGTGATAAAAGCTAATGCAACCTTTGGCTACCGTAAGTGAGATACAGCATCCAGGACTAGAAGAGTTCTCATATACTTGGTTATAGTACGAACAAACCTGGAACACTGTTGTCATTTTGAGGCACCCCATTTTAGGAATGCTAGTGATAAGCTAGAACATATTCTCCAGAAGCTTACTAGAGTGCTGAAGGATCCTAAGATCATAACATATAAGTACTGAGTGAAGGAATTGAAGATAGTTGCTAAGAAAAAGAGGAAAAACTACAGAGTGGCAAGATGGCATAGTGCATAGAATGCTAGAGAACTTAGGTCAGAAAGACCTAAGTTCAAATTCAGTCTCAGACACTTGGTAGCTCAGTGACCTTGGGTAAGTCAATTTGCCTTTACCTGCCTCACTGTGAGATAGAGTTAATAATAGCACCCACTTGCCAGAGTTGTTGAGGAAGAAATGAGATTGCATATATACATATATACACTTATGTATATAAAGTGCGTTGCAAAACTTAAAGTGCTATGCAATCTTAGCTATTATTACTATTATGTGACAACTATCTTCAAGTACTTCATGTGAAATTTGACTCTAGAGGGAAGGACTAGGGGAAATATATGGAAGCTACAAAGAGGCAAATGTAGGCTTGAAACTTCGTGATAATTGGACAACGAGAATTAGAGCTGTCCAGAAAAGGAACTGGCTGCCCCACACCTTTACTGGATTCACTTTCCACTGGAAATTTTCAACCACAGATTGGAAGACCATTTATTGGATATAAGGCTGAGGGGATTCTTGGTCAGGTATAGAATGGACCAGATGGACTTTGAGGCCCCTCCCAACTCTAATATCCTTTGAGTCTATAATCAAATGAAAAAATATATGTAAAAGAATTATTTTATAAATGGCAAAGCATAATATAAATGTGAGGAATGATTATCTGTTTTAACACTGTCACTGTCCCTTCCTTTTGCTGAGTCAATGAGTTCCCCTTGCTTTCTCACTCCATTATTGCCTTTTCCTTTGCCCTACATCATCTGGGCAGAAAGACAAGAATGATCAAATCCAATTACTGGGTAAGAACTCTTCTAGTGCCTTCTTAACCTCTTTTCTTTCTAGGAATTTAGGTATGTGTAGGTATCCCAGCAGAGGAAGCTGTCCAAGTATTAGGAAAATGTGGCTAGGTATATCTGCATTTTCCTCTTGTCTGACTGATGATCACTGCTAATCAAACCCTAACCCTATATTAATTCCACCATTTGCCTCCTTCATTCCTATTCACATGCTGCTGAATGAAATTGGATGAAGTCATGAAAACATGTTAAATAAGTCCAAAACAAATTTAGGTTATCTAACCTCAAATGGGACTTCACTGTGGCAACAAAATCTTACTCTTCCCTAATCAAACAGCTATCATGGTGGTGTCAAAGTCAAATAGAAATAAATCCCTGCAGGCTGCATATTTACTTATGAAACCACAAACTGACATTATCTATGTTGTACTGTCTTTTTATTAATCTTGTTAAAAATTTCCCAATTACATTTAATCTAGTTCTGGCAGCACTCAAGAGTTTTGTGGCTACTTGCAAGTTTGACACTTCTGCTCCATCATACTCAACCCAACACATATTCCAAACCTCATTTCTCCTCTTCTCCCATGGCACACCCAACTCCAAGCTGAGGACTTTACCTAATACTTCATTTTTTTTTTAAACTGAGACCATTTGTCAAGAGTTCCTCTTCTCCTTATCTCATATCTCTGTGTCATCATCATTCAATATCTCCTCCTACTCTTCTACCTCTGATGAAGCAGTAGCCCTTCTCCTTCCCAAGGTCAACCATTCCACCTACACCATTCCTCCTATTCCTTCATGTTTTCTACCCACCTGCACCATTCCTCCAATTCCTTCATATTTTCTATAGCATATTACTCCCATTATCATCTTCACTCTACCTAAACTTTACTCTCTCCTCACCTACAGTTTTCTTTCATTTTGCTAACAACCACAATCATGCTTCCCCAATCTTTAAAAAGCCCCCATTTGATCATACCATCTTATCAGTTATTGGCCTCTTTCCTCTCCTGTTCAGTGAAACTGAGTGTGGGGGGGGGGAAGAGTCTATATTCTGTGTCTCTGTGTCCTCTCTTCTAAACCCTCTTCTGTAATCTGACTTCTGACTTTGCAATTAAAAGCTTTCTGTCCAAAGTTACCAATGATTAAATTTTAATTATACAATCTAATGGCCTTTTCTTAGCCTTCTTGACCTGTTTGCAACATCTGACACTGTTGGTCATCTTCTTCTCCTATATACTCTCTTCCCCCTGAGTTTTCATGACACTGATCTCTGTTGATCCTCCTCCTACCTATCTGACCACTCCTTCTCAGTCTCCCTTACTGGATTTTCAATACACACACACACACACACACACGCACACACACACACATACACACACAGATAGATATATATGTAAGTATATATATGAAAATATATAAATCATATTATAATAGATAAAGATTATACATAGATTAATACATAATTAATATTAATTATATAGCATCTATTATTAATTACATGTAATTATATTTCTATATTATTTTATATAATATATTATATTTTATATAATTAATTGCTTATAAAATATTAATATACATTAATTTATAGATTATATGTAATCTGTAATCTATATATGTTATAATATATTTTCATGTATGTATATATGTTTATGTGTATATATGCATACATATATATGTGTGTATATTCATGTGTATATGTGTGTGTATATATAAATATTTCATGTCCACAAATTAGGTAGCTATACTAGTCTATGGCATAGGTGCAGAGTTAGCAACTTTTTTTTTTAGTTGCCAAAACACCTTTGAATCTTGTGTGGAAGGGAAGGAGTGATTAGCAGTCTCCTGTCCAGCTATTCTAGAGTCCAGATATAACCACATTAAATTATGTGCCCTTGGCAAAGTCACTCAACCACTCTGGAGCTGAGATCCTATCTAATTTTGAAATGCCATTCATCTGTTCATCAGAGAGAGTGGATACCTTCTCTATGAAGTGATAAGCTTATTTACAGAGTAAATAAGATATGGTCCTTGCCTTCAAAGCTCATGAAATTTGGGAGGGATGATAAGAAAAAGATACAAATAAATATGATATAAATTAGAATGTGATAAGCATATTTGAGAAATATAAAGTACTAAGAGATCAGATTTCATTATTCGTATTCCCAGTGCCTGGCACACAGTAGGTGCTCAATTAATGATTGTTGATTAACTGATGAGTGAGAGATCAACTGAACCATACACATGCATGGTGTCCATACACGTTAACTATCCTTCCTTTTTTTCGACCACAGACAGCACTTTCACTTTGACTTCTCATACTCCTATCAACAATTATTCAAGGGAATAAGAAAACTCGAGACGTGTTAACAGACCAAGATGGCCTTTATGACACTCTAAGCATCCTAAAAACTGCTCTGAGACATGATGATCTGGAAAATCATCATTACCCAACCTTTCCTTGAGCTCATAACATGAGTATCATCAGCCATGGTGTCACTATGCAGGTAATGATAATCGAAAGATAAATAGAATTTTTAAGGAACCAACAAGTAGAAGCTGACCACATGTTTCAAAAACACTCAAGTCATTGCTGCTTTTAATTGTAATTTTCAGTTGACATTTTAAATGTGAAGATGCAGAATTTAGAGTTTTGAAAAAAGCTAAATGCATCTATTTCTGATATCCAAGGGGCTTTTTTGATCACTGCTGCCTCTCTTTCCCCCCTTTTCCTCCATCTCTTCCTAATAAAATACTCTATTTTTCTCTCTTTGTCTTTGGTCTCTAGATATTACTTCCCTGCAATCTGTCATCTTGTGTTATTTCAAGAAAAAAAATTTGTTAACACATGCTCACAATCATCAAGGAGACAATTTATGGGTGTAAGTAGAAGGAAATTATTTTTCAACTGTATAAAAGCCAATAATAAAAACCTCTTGCACAAAGCTTCCAGTTTCCATTTTGTGCCAAGCATTTGTTTTTAACTTACAGATCTACAATTACTACATTCAGAGTAAGTAGAGACAGAAAAGATTTCTGAAGTCATTTACTCTAAGTATCAAAAAAAAGAGTACAGAAAAATTTCCTCCAGAATTTGGACCCAAGTCTTAAAGCTTAAGTCTCTGGGGGCTTAGTGTCTTACCTCTAACATGTACAATTTAGTTATTGAAAGAAAACACACTTCTTCAAGCTCATGTGCCATGCTACACATTTGCATCATGTAGTGAATCTCACAGAACTGCACACACTGTGTGACATGTCTGCTATTCTTTACCATCTGGTGCCTGCAGTTGACATTCAGTTTGAAAAACACATGCAGGAAAAAAAAAATCCACCCTCATTCATTCTGAGCTGAAATAGGTAACAGAACAATGAGCTTTGCAATCCAGACTTTTGGAAAGATGGAGAAGCAGAATTAGAAATGAAAAACAGAATATTTTTAAATCACCAAACATTATAAAGGACAAACCTTCTCTTTTGTTTTCTTGTTTTCAGCTTTAAGATCTTCATATTCACCAATTGCTATAAGAGAACAGGGAAAAAACATTGTAACACTCAGAAATGAAAAATAATCAAGTTTATTAAATTTAAATTTCATTCATCTGAACCCAGAATGTCAGAACCTTCAATTATCTGTATTTCCCACAACCAGTCCATTTTTAGGAGGAAGAGCAATTATCATGGAGAAAAAGTCACAGTATAAATTTGTCAAAAAAACAGCAACAACAAACAACTTCCAGGCATTTAAATTTGATTAGTTCAAATTTAGCTCAATCCCTTGTACCTCCAGTCTGAGAATTCAGTTCCAGATCATGACCCTTGGCCATTGCAACATCCTCAATTATCAAACCAAGATTATATACTATTCATTAAACTCTATCAAGTCAGAAAAGTGACTCATAGGTTTTACAAAGACTTCCTATATACTGAAATAAAAAAGGACTGCCCACTTTCAACTGAATTTTAACATCTCAAACACTCAAATTAGTCAGTATTTGATTATATATTAAAATTCAGCAGGCAACCCACAATGTATTAATCGCTCTCAAATGAACAATACAAAAATATCATTCTAACAAGGGTGATTCATACCACAGATTTTGGCTTCTTTAGCACTCCCATAATTATTTTTATTTCAGAACACACACTATAGATAAATGTACCTAGAAAGTCAAAGAAATCAAAGTTTAACAAACTCGTAAAGACAAATTCCATGCCTATATCTACAGGCATGTAAAATTGAAGGTTTTGAAGGAGAGAAGGGAAACATTAGGGGGTTAAAAAGGAAGAGAATGGATGAGACCAATTGTTAGAGAAGAACTGGGCAAGTTATCTCCCTTCTCCAACCTCAGTTTCATCATCTGTAAAATGAGAAGATTTGAATAGACTGTCTCTAAGGTCCCTTTCACATCTGGTATTCTATTTAAGCATATCGAAGGTAGGGCTTAAGAAAACTATTTAGCCTAATGATTATCTGCTTCCCATTTCACTCTACTACATGCAACAAATCCCAGGATTCCAACACTTGATTAATTCTAGTGACTTTCCTGATCGACTGAAAAATCTCATTGTAATTCAGATATTTAAAAATGTTTTAAAAATGATCCGCATGCAAAAAAATCTATGGCATATCTAGAGGGGAAAAGGTTTTTCTATATAGGAATAGAAATAGCAACACTTCCAGAAGGCCAAAATAGGGAAACAAGATTAAAAACAATAGTAACAATAGCAACAGCAGCAACAACAACAACAACAAAAACAAAAACCCACAGCTTCTCAATACCATCGATTACTTGAACCTTTGTTTGCCATTAATGCTAGAGGTGTTTGCTTCCAACTACCAGAGGTAAGGGAAATCTGAGAGCAGCTCACAGGAGTATGGATCTGGAGCCTCAAGGGACCTCGAAGGTCATCTTATCCACTTCCACCCCAAGCACCACCCTTTTAAAGATAAAGAAACTGAAGCCCAGAAGGTTAAGGTACTAGTAAGAGAAAGAGCTAAGATTTGAACTCAGGTCCTCTGATTCTAAATGCAACTCTCAGCTAATTTATTGGAGAGAAATAATCTTGGTTTCCTACAGCAGCGATCTAAAGGGATAAGAATGCCTCCTGTGACATGTTATACAAATAATTAAAATTTAAAATGATGTAAAACAAACCCCCAACCAATAGAGACTTTGAAACCATGACAGCATCTATAGTAGTTAAACCCAAGACATCCATCTTTCTTTCCTTATTTTCCCCAACTGTAAAGAAAAAAAAAAGACATTTTCCTCAAAGTTTACCTTATGAAGCGGTCAGCTAAAAAAGGTGACTTTTAAACTGATAAGGTATCCTTATAAAAAAATACAAGAAATGCTAAAGCCCCTTACTAACAATTAGTACATTATGTCAGGTTTAGGATAGCAAAATGGGAAGGCTACTACACTTAGACTGAAGTCAGTAGAAGCTGGGTTCAACTCTTAGGTCCACTACTTACTAGCCACGTGACAAATCATTTAACTTCTCTGAGCTTACTTTTCCTCATCTGTTGAAGGGGAGCAACTACATTCATCCACTACCTACTTCAAATGGTTGCTTCGAAGAAAATTCTTTATATATTGTCAAGAAATTGAGCAATTCTGATTCCAGTACTTCACAATGGCCATTTAAAAATAAAAGAAAACAAAAATAAAGAATCTTTAGGTTGGTTACTTAGTATTCAAAAGTGGCTGGAGATTAAGTTGAAAAGTCAAAATTTATTTAACATATCATTCCTAGTAACCTAGTCTGTGGTCATGCATGCCATAATAAAAGCTTACAAAACCATGATCTCATATAGGCAATAAGGAGTTATTTTTCGTTTCTTTTTTTTCCTATTTAACACATCTGATAGATGTTTGAAGGTTTTCTTTATCACACTAATACTATTCTTCCCATTATATGGCTGATAGCACCCAGATTGAACACTGTTGATTCCCTCAATTACTAGGCCTTTATGGAAAGCATTAATTAAGAACCCTTCACCTATGGTGTCTTAATGGAAATCAGGTGAAAACATGTTTTCTTGTAAATGACTACATGCAACTTTTTTTTTTCCTTCAAGGCTGTGGGCAGGAAGAGGAAATGGTGGAAATGAGAGCCAAAGGTTAAGGGAAAGAGAGCCATGGGGAGGGGAGAGGGTGGACAAAGAATGTTCATTGAAAAAAAAAGAAAAGAAATTCCTATTCATATTTTGAATTATTCTTCAAAGCTACCACAAGCTTAAGACCATGGATACTAACCTACCTCAAAAATTTAATTCTCTCTCACTCTCTCTTTCTCTCTGTCTCCCTCTTTCTCCCTCCCTCTCTCCCATCTCTCTCTTTTCTCTCTCCCTCCCTCATCTCTCCTCCCATTTCTTTATCTCTCTTTCTCTCTCCACTGTATGTCAATACCTCTTCCCTCTCCTTATCTCTCTCTCTGTTTTCTTTCTACTTTCTCTCCTTGCTTCCCTTTCTCCCTCCCCCCTCCCCTCATCTCCTCCTCCTCCTCCTCCTCTTCTTCTTCTCTCTGTCTGTCTCTCTGTCTCTGTCTGTCTCTCTCTCTCTCCCTTTCTCCTCCCTCCCTCTCTTGTCCCTCTGTCTCTCCTTTTTCTCTCTACTTTCTCTTTCTATCTTCTTCCCTCTCACTCACACAAACCCTTTACACACACACACACACACACACACACACACACACACACACACTCCTCTTCTCTGACCTCAGCCAACAATGCTGTAATATATATTAAGTGGTTTTTGAGAAACAATAAAACGGAGCTATCATCATTTTTGTCTTCGAGTAAATTCTCACAAGTAGATTCAACTCTTCTTGTTAATGCTAAAGACTCATTTTACCTAACTCCAGAATGTAAGGAAATCTCTAGCATGCCAGGAAGCCTTACAAGTCTATCTCTACTTTCCTATACATCCACAAGGCTTTCACAATCTTCACATGAAAAGATACCACTCCTCAGGAAAGCCCAAGGTTTGTAACTTCCTCTTGCTAGCCTACAGAGTAGAGGATAAAGTGAATAATAAAAAGGAGTTTTGATCTGTAGTAGTGACATTGTTTTAACTATAAAAAAGGGGTACTGGGAAAAGTCAATGAAAAAATAATTAGAGGAGTAAAGAAAGTGAAGTGGCAGAGATGAAAGTAGAAACATACCTAAGACAAAAGAATGGGGGGGAAAATCTACATTTGACTAGACTCCCTAGCTTTCTGTAAGTCCCAACTAAAATCCTGTTTTCTATAGGAAGCCTTCCCCAACCCCTTTTAATTCTAGTGCCCTCCCTCTTGTTAATTATTTCCTATACATCCTGTATATTGCTTCTTTGAATAGATGTCTTTGTTTTCTCCCCCCTTTACAATGTGAGCTCCCTGAGGTCAGGAACTGGTTTTTTTTTTTTTGCCTCTTTTTGTATCCCCAGTGTTTAGCACAGTGCCTGGCATATAGTAGGTGTTTAATAAATATTTATTGAGACTATTGGCATTTACTGAGCACCAACAGTGTTTAATGGAGTGGGAAGAAAAAAGAAAACCAAAGAAATTAAAGGAAACCTACTTCAGCTTCTTTATTCCTCAATACTCAGTAACACTAAAGGGAAGGTGGTTTTTTTTTTTTTTCGCCATAAGTTCAATCATGGAAATCAGGAGAATTTTAGAGCTTAGAGGTCATTAGGTACTCATCCTAATTGACAATGGAGTATGACTTAGGACCTAGAGACAGTAATTAAATAGTGCAGGTGGTATTTAAGTAGTACTTCTACATTTCCTGTGCAAGATCCAAACGTATTAGTTCATTTTATCCTTATAACAATTGGGTAAGGGAGAGAAGGCCAAGACTAGCAAACAGGTCTCCTGACTCAAAGGCCTCTTTCTACTAGACCTCACTGTCTCATTGATTGGCTCAACTCTATCAAATAAGACTTGGCTAAAGAATATTAAAACACCACTCATTTCCCCATCCACTATGTTTTATGATTAGAAAATCTAAGAAAAATAAAGACTTCTATGGCTATCAAAAATAACCTGAAATTCACTGCCTAATGAGATGTTCTAAAGTGAATTCTCATATGATCAGCCTATAAATCTGAGAATGACAGAACACAGAAACACCTCCTAACAATGGTACAAGAAGGAAATGATTTTTCCCCTTCCCCTAATGGTAAATAAGGACCTTAGTTATAAAAGACTCTGTTCAATTAGGACAGTAGTCTTTCTACACAGATACCAATGGTTTCTGCACTTAAAGCCAGAACTAAAGAAAGAAGAGCTATTTATACCTACCTTGTTAATTAAAGCATTAGGGAGGCAGGGAGAAAGCACTGTTAAAATAACTGATCAAATAACAAAGGTGACATACTGAAATCACATCTGGAAAGAAATTAATGGCAACTGTGAAATTCAGGAGTTCTCTGGGAAGTACACAGTACTTGTTCCAATAATAATGAAGTGCCACTAATAAAGTATAGGCAAGGTTCTCCAACTTAACTAAATTAAATAGCCAAAAACTGGGTAAC